GGAAAAAAGGGGGGGGGGGGGGGGGGTAGAGTGAGTGAGACTGGAGAGAGGATCGAAATAGAAACTGACAAAGGAAAAATAAAAGAAAGAAAACAAGAAAGGAAGAAAAAACATTCGCAGTCTAAAAGCAGTTGAAAAGTTAGTACTACCAAATCCGTTCCTGCTGATCAATAACAAAGCGCCAAAAGTGCTCGACGAGCAAGTTGAATACCGTACTTATTCGAATAAGCACCCACCTCGAATAAGCGCCCACTCTCAAAGTCCAAAAATTTAATAAGCGCCCAGGGCGGTTAATCGAATAAATACGTTATATACCATAAAAATTTGTAAATGAAGGACGATTTTCTGATATATTGGGGCCTAGTTAAACCGTAGAAAGTCAATTTGCGAAATTCTAAGTTATAGCGCATTGTAAAAATTTACATGATTTTAACCCCATAATTTTGAACCGGTGAAATTGTCAATAGGGCCTATTTTTAACAATACCTTTTTGGCCACAAACTTATTACTCATTACTCATTAAGGGTTATCGATGAGCCAAAAATGAGCGAAATTCGAATTTCTTGTGCCACAAAAAGACGATTTTGGTCGATATTTACAGACAGTCGCTCTTAAAACATTTTCACTCTGGAGAGCGGATTCAAAAAGTTACGGATTCACCGGATACGTGTGGACGGAAGCCGTACCCGGAAAGAAAAAGTTTCGGATTCAAAAATATCCAGATACGTGTGGACGGAGCCTGAATACTCAGCTTCACGTTTTATGGAGGACGTAAACAAGTGACGACCATTTTCCGCTTTTTTCTTTGGATATGGTTTTTGGTAATCCAACTCCAAGCTTGCAGATGACGTTTCAGTAGGTGTGGCAATATACAATTTACCCCAATGTACTGAAGTTTTAATACTGGGGACTCCTTCCTCTCCCAGTAACTTCAGTCTATGGTGCGCCGGGTCACGCTTTAAGAATTCTCCAAGGTTTCATGGTTTAATTACGCTATCAAATGTATCTCTTTACACTCGTGAGCCCATGCTGATCAGTAGACGACATAGACCACAATAATTAATAATTTTCCCTGGAGTGGATTTTAAAACTGAAAAAGTGCCTACATTAAATAACAAGATTCATCATAAAACAACTGTAATTCTTCACAATGATCAGTCATAGAAATTATTCAGAAATAACAACACTAACGCTCTAATTCATTGTACAATAGTCGATAACATAACGTTTTAGCTAATGAGCTGATGGAGTTTGAGCGAGTGATCTCAGACCGTAAAGGAATCAGGCTAGCGCAAGGGTTCTCTTGCATCTTCGCCATTTTTAATCAAATTAGAGGTAAAGTCTGGGTACCTCTCTGCCCAGGAATTACGGTTTAAAATGGACACTTTAAGGGGTGTTTAACACGACACGTCCAAGTGCTAACGTGTCGCTTTCTGATTTAAACTACCCTATATCAAATTAAAAATTAAACTTATAGAGCTGGCAAAAACCTAAATATATCAGCCATTGTGTGCTAAATTGAAAAGTCAACTTTGTCACGCTTTTTAAATGGAGAGGCCGAATCATCCTTTGAAAGCTGACGAAAGTAAACTGAAATAAAATTAATCTTAGTTACTGAAGACTAGTCAATACAAAACTTATGGCTTACAGAACTATTACTTTTCACTTTAAAACAAGTACATGGAATAGGCTTTCAGCTTTAAAGCTCCTTCATCTTCTTGCATGGTAATTATATCAAAGCTGTGGCGACTTCGTCTTTTCAAGCCACAAGCATGTAAACAAAAACAACTACCTAACAACTAATACAATAATCACGGACATAGATGATCTGGAAAAAAAGCACTGGCAGGCCTTGCTAACAAATGAAAGGATCGGAACAAGGAAAACTGACAGTTTTAACAGTGACGAGTAACCTTTGCAATCCTGAAAAAAGATTTAAGACAAGTTCTGTCCTTTTACTATTTCATTTCAGTCACAATTTAAGTATAACTGAGATATGTTGTTTGTTGCTTCTAAGATTTGCCCTTACACACAATGAATTCAACATTATCTAAGTCTTTTTCTTATAGAAACCTTTTTAATTAGGAAATCAGGGATAAGGACACAAACGAGAAGATTTTTGAGCTTGCTCATTTTTACAAGGTAACAATATCCGATGGGACGACATCTTATACAACTAGTATATTCAGATAAAGTAGGGACAATTTATTGTTTAGAAAAAATTAAACTTCATTCTCATAGAGACATTTACGGTATTAACATCATCTTGCAATGTTCCCTGCTACTGATATATGTATATAAATTCTGCAAACATAATTCCAAAAAACCAGGATTTTTGTAACTGGAAAGAACATTTTACCTTGTCTGGGCTGAAGACTAACATAGTGTAACTCGTGAATGTGTCCCAACACAAGGGGGCTGCTGTTGGCAAGTGCATGATCTGGATGGACAACTATTTCATGGTCAAGACTGCTGATAATACGGATGGGAGTTTGGAAGCGATTTGCCGCAGCAAACAAAACCACATGATCGCCCCAGTTACCGTCTTTCGCCATGCTTTGTAAGTATTCACGCCAAGATGAGTATCCAGAGACAAAGTTAAACAGAGATGTTCCTTCGTGCTAAAGAACAAAAACCATCAAACAAGTGAATTTCAATGTTTTCTGACTAAGCGGCATGGACGTGGAGTGATTTTAACCTGTCAGAGAGTTTATGTAAAGTTTGTTTAAAAATGAGTGGTTGGCTAGGGTAACCTTTAAACCAGTCACCCACTGGGAGGCACAAGGGTTCGCAGGGAAGCGAATTTCGAATTTTTCAAGTCATGACGTATTTGTTTGACGTCATCAAGACAATTAAGTGACCTCCCAATTTCACTGTCAAAGCTTTAAGTATTTTAAACTAAAAACGAAGAGGTGGGTGATTTCAAAGAAGATCATAATACGTCAGGTATTTTTTGTTATGTTCAATCCAATTTAGTTTAGCAAAGAAACGTCCAAATGAGTTAAGGGAAACGATTATAACTGGCGCGATACAAAGGAACAGGTCTAGGGCAGTATGCAGTGGTATGAAAGAGGATGGTAATTAAGGATAGGGCAAGCTGGGTGAAAGATGAAGCTGGAGCTGACTCACTTGTTCTCGCGCAGACAGCATGATACGTTCAGTTCCTTATCATATGGGAGAAATCGGCCAAACAGATACGGAAGGCCCGTGCGAATAGTTTTTGTCTAAGTTAGACTATAGTCATCAACTTACCAGACTAGGGTTCTCATCGAGGAACTGAACCAAGGTTTTTCTTAGCTCTTTGTGCGAGATTTGAATTCCTTTGACACTTTGTAATTGTTCTGATAATGCATAGAATAAACAGTTCCCAGATGCTTGGTTATCAGAAACCAAGAATCCTTTGTTTGCAGCGATTGTTCTCAAATCAGATGGTAGGTTGGTTTTCTTGCTAACCTGCTCTGTATGACATCGTAAATTTTGTAAAGATGGAAAAACATTCCAACCTGAAAAATAAAAAACGAAAAAAAAACAAAACAAAACAAAACAAAATAGGTGTAGTGGTCATAGATATTGATAATTTTGGGGATTCTTTTGCAGGGGTTAGTTTAAAAAAATCCTCTGAAATTGACATCAACTAGTTTCTTATGATAGGAGAATAAGCAAGATCTTAATATTATTTGATTAATTCTCAGTTATCAGTTATTAGCAAACCGTCTCGATAGGAATAAAGACTCTTAGCAATAAACTTTTGGTAGCTTCCAGGCATGTCAAAAGGGAAAGACCGATTACGTCAAGTTGAACGGAGGCGCTCAAAAAATTCTCTACATAAGGTGACTCGATACAGTTTTTCAGGGTCAATACCTCCCAAGTTTGAGTATAAACTACGTCGCCATAAACGAAGATTCGAAAAAATTGCCACCACAGTTGTATTAGGCAAATTAGGTATTATCCCGAAAAGACACCTGAGCTACAAAAGGTCCACTGTAAAGCATACCTTCCTCCTCTACGACTGTTTTCTGTACAATATCTGTTCGGAGAAGGAAATATTTTCCTAGAATTTTCAATTACTTGAGGACGGCTAAAAATTTCTAGACGACCGCTCTTTTAGTGTACAATTTTCGAAAATCATCTAATAACTCCCCTACGATTACTTGAACTTTAATTTTTCACATTTCACTCCCGGATTCAAAAATGGGATGGAGAGAGGAATCAGAAAAATTCTCACTTTCGTAATACGTTCAATTGCATCTAAAATTTTCGGGAAAATAATACTGAAACCCTTGTAATCCATAAAAGGCTCATATTCCCCTAGGATGACCGAACAGGCACAAATTTTATATATCGCCCCGCTTAGAATGCATTTCTAGATATCTACAAGTACCCTGGCTAGCCTCATAAGTGTTAGTTTCAATCTTTGTCAGAGGTAACCGTCGTTAGGTGCCGCTGAAAAACACTTAGCAATACATTTTTAATTAGTAGCTTTTTAGGCAAAATGAGATCCAATAATTTGTTCAGTGAAAAGTAACAAATAGCACGTGTTCTCACATGCCGCATATTCTTTTCTCTCCCTCTCTCTCTCTCTCTCTCTCTCTCTCTCTCTCTCTCTCTCTCTCTCTCTCTCTCTCTTTCTCTCTTTCGGCAACAGCAGTGTGTAGTAGAGGGCTGTGTATCTAAGCCCCAGTTGATAAGTTGTGGTGTTCCACAGGGTTCAATTTTAGGCCCTTTGTTGTTTTTAATTTATATCAATGATCTCCCTGGATGTCTTCTCCATACCAAAGCACACATGTATGCCGATGATACCACGATATATGCGTCCTCTGTATCCACTGCTGAACTATATGCCAAGGTAAATAATGACCTAACTCGCGTTAGGGACTGGCTTCTTGCAAATAAGTTAAGCTTAAATGTCACTAAAACGGAGTATATGTTCTTAACAACTACCTTCAAATTATCTAACTTAGGAAGAGACTTTCCAATTAAGATTGGCAACAATCATGTTAAACGAGTCCAAACAACAAAATATTTAGGAATTCACTTAGATGAAAATCTTAAATGGAACGAGCATGTTGACAAACTTTGTTCAAAAGTCAATCGATCCATCAGTGGTCTAAAACAGGCACGTGATTATGTACCATTAGATGTTCTAAATACTATTTACAAATCTCTTATCCAGCCTGTGTTCGACTACTGCGACGTTGTTTGGGACAATTTAGACCAGGGACTTGCCACTAGGATCCAGAAATTACAAAATCGTGCTGCACGCATAATAACCTTTCAAGGTTATGACGTTCGTTCAGCACAAATACGAAAACAACTAAACTGGGAAGAGCTTGCCTCGAGGCGTCAAAGGCACTTAAGTCTATTAATGTATGATACAGTGAATGGAAATATACCTAGTTACTTAAGCGATCTTTTCTCGAATGTCTGTGAGAACAACCCTTATAAGTCTATGCTAAGAAATGCGGAATATAATGTTGTACTGGACCACGTTCCAAAAACAGAATATTATAAGGGGTCTTTCTCATACAGAGGAGGAATGCTGTGGAATTCTTTACCAAATGACATAAAAGCGTCCGAATCTAAAGCTATCTTTAAAAGAAAACTGGCTAGTAGGCAGGCAAACTGTTGACTACATTTTACTATATTTTATTATTTGTACATATTTTTAGTGTAGTTGTACAGTATTTACTTCTGTTTCTATACGGCTTTCATGTAAAGAAGTTATGTAACTTATGAAATTACCGTATTCAAATAAAAGTGAATCAATCAATCAATCAATCAATCTCTCTCCCTCCCACCCCCTCCACCCACTTTTTTGGCAGATTCGAGAACTCTAGAAGTTTTAATGTTCTTGAAGATACGGAGAAAGAGCGAAATCCTAAACTAGTTCGAGGCAGACCAAAGCCAGCCGCTCTGCCTTGGCGGTATGTATAAGTCATGCAAGTGAGCTTAGTTATCGTTCATCCACGCTAATTCAAGCATGGACGCCCGATTCAAATGATGTTGACAATTTTAGTGAACAAAGAACACTTTTGACCAACAACACCATTCAAGACTAGTATTATGACGCATTACGCTGATTAGTCATCGGGGATACCTTCAGGGTCTACAGTTGTCCCCTCCGTTCGCTGACAAACTTTATCGGCGGATGGAGAAATTCTGCGTTTTGTTTCTGAAGAGCTCTGGTAATTTAAAGGAAGATCTGTTGGTAAAAAAGAGTACTAATATAACAACAGGCTGTTTTTGGTGAATGCGGATGTATGAAATAATCACATAATTGTGAACTGGGGATAAATTACATGATAGATGGACTGGGTCAATATAACTTTCGTGCGTTTGCCCAAATGAAACATAAAACTTTGTAACAACCTTTTTTCACGATCTCACCCGGACAAAAAGGCAGCGGATATTACTCAAATTTGGTTTTGTTTGGCGTGTATATTTTCATTTCTTCTTAGAGTCCACGTCCTGTTATTCATTTTGCAATGTATAAACAATTTTTTTTCGTAAGAAAGAAAATTCACATTCATACCGTAAACCCAACTGATCATCTTGTTAACAAGATCCTTTATCTGTTTGGCCCAGTTGTATTTCTTGCCATAGGATTCGCGCAGGGTTTCCGCTTCCTCAAGACGACTTCTCCTGTTCTTGACCCAGATTGTTTTGATAGCAGAGGTCCAATCAGCCGGTTCCTCTGAGTTCACTACATATGTTGATCCAAAAGGTACACTGAGTAAAGCTTCACCAAAACCGGAGTTGCGGCTGACAAGAACAGGGAGACCAGCTGACAAGGCCTCCAGTCCTGTCAATCCAAAGCCCTCTGTTCTTGAAGGCATGACAACAAGATCCACTTCTTGAAACAAGCGCCTTAGACTCTCTCGATCTTGAACAAATCCTCTTACTCTCAAGCGACTTGGAGGGACACCACATTCGGTCAACCGTTTTGCTATTTCTTCGTGTTTTCCATCTGGAGCCCCAACAAAGACAAGACGAGTATCTTTTAACTCAGCAACCGCTTTCCCAGCGATGTCAAATCCTTTCAATTCGAAATCCTCTACGTCTCCACGACCAAACACCAAGACACTGTGTTGCTGCCTTTCTCTCAGAGCCTGCTTCACAGCCGCAAACTCTACAAATACTCCCGGAGTGAAGTCAACAACATTGTCATCTTTTTGGCAGCTGCGAAGATAGGAGCGAAAGGCCTCGCTCAACTTGGAACCAACACCAACAACATGATCCGCCATTTCACACAGTTCTACTTCGGTCTTGTGCTTTTCCTCGCCTTTTGAAATTGGATCTGAATAGTTTTTAAACATTCCAAGTTCCTCTGGATCTGTGTGCACCACTTGAACCCATTTGCACCTTTTAGATCTTTTAATGATTTGTGCCTGTTTACCGAGTTTGATTCCATGACCTACGATAATGTCGATTTGCAAATCTTCGGGAGGAAAGCAAAGCCAGTCCAGTTGCCCAAAGCCAGGCAGTGGTGTTGCCTTAACGATCTTTACGTTATGCTTCAGGGCTAACTTCTTGTCCTCTTGACTGCATTGTGGTAAAAAGAAAGTGATTTCCACTTCAGGGCATTTGGCCAACTGAATGGCTAGCTCTCTGTTTATGGTGGAAAGTCCCCCTTTGCTTGATCCCCATTCAGAAGCCAAAATAGTGACTCTGATCACTTTGCGGGACTCATCTACGCTATTACGTGATTCAGATTCCCTTAAAGAAGACATCAAAGTTCTCACACATCTAAAATGAAAATTGATCATCGAGAATTACTTATAACACTTAGTCGCAAAGGAATACCCGGGGTAAAAAAGACTTTCTCACTCGAAAGCCTTCAGTTATTCCATAAAAGTCTCTATTTGCTGATTAATTAGCCGGCGTGGAAGGCGTTTGAAAGGGAAGGAAAAGGGGCTTTTGGGAGCGAGAGGCGCCTTCTCTCGCGCCTGGTCTTTTCGAACCCTACGGATTGCCAGAAAGTCAATGTAGCTCCCCACAACATTTTTTTCTTGTTAATTTCCAGATTTTTTAGTCCGGCCAGTGATTGTCGATATCAGCAGGCACGGGCTCTTATAAATAGTCCCCCGAAGCTTTTACTAGCGGGCTCTATGTGGGTATGTGGCAATAATTAATCGCGCACCCAGTTTATCAAAAAAAGGGTCAGTTCATTTCAAAGAAGTAACTGAAAAACAGAGAAATGTAACTGAAGAATAGCAATCAGAAATCATCCCTTAAAGATTAAGAATTCTTTTACAGTAAGGACACCCAAATCGGGACACTTAGAGGGAGATTGTCCAGTCACAACATTTTCTGAAAACGAAGGTGCATTACGTTTGCATTGCATGATTGGACAACCT